TGGAATTGTCACTCTCCAAACAGGTATTCGCCCAAGCTCGAGGTTCACTCCTTAAGTAGGAGATTGTGGTACAGACCTTCACTCTATCTGTGGAATATGTTCTTGGTTTAAGATCATACATCAATTTACATGCGTTTATGAACTTGCGGAAACGCTTCCTGTCACCCGAGAAAGTATCGGGCGGACAAATCTTGGGCTCTGGTGGCTCACTGTGAGGAATTTTAGTGAGGGTCTGAGTGAAAGAGAGTCTTAGAATTTGGTTTTCAAGTTGTTACTCCGTAACATTGTGATTGAGAGATTCTAATCTCTGGCTCACCGCTTGCACCTGTTCTGAGACATCCGCTAGATCCATCCCTTTTTATGGTTCAAGCAAACTGTCACGGTCTGCAAACGGGGCACACAAAATGACAAAAAGTAGCGTGCAAAAAATGGTGTCTGTGCGTTAACAGGGACGCACTAGAGGCGCAGGTTCTAAGAAGGGCCAGGTGTTCGACAGAGCCTCTAATGGTGAGGATGATTGGCTGCTGGACACCTTCCAGGTTGCGGCCCTCTAGCATGCCCACACAGACATAAAGATTAGTGGCAGCACCGAGGTGCTGGATGCATCAGCAGACAGGGTTGAAGCATATACACAGCCACACGAGTAGGCACAGTTGCAAGGACTCACTTGAAGAAGCTGATGATCAATCCAATGCAGGACGTACAGGATCTCGCTGTGAGGAAGAGGGAATCCAGACTCACAGGAGACAAGATAGGTGGTGGGCAACCGCAGGGATTACAGAGGCAAGAAATAAACAGGAAGTCCGACTGGGTGAAAAGACACGTTGCTCGAACGGCACGGAACAAGTGAGCTGGACTTTTAATGGAGAGGTTCAGAGTGGATTGGCAGGAAGCCAAGCAGCTCAGACAGGAGGTAAAACCCGGTGCCGGATCCTCACACAGGGAAGTGTGACACCTGCAATGTCATCCCATAACATGGGCTTCTCATGGAAACTACAAATAGACATTTGACACACACAAGTAGGGCCCATTTTCATGGTAGCAAACCCACCATGGGAAATTCCATGCAGCCATCACTGGAGTGCATGCATGTAGAAAGGAAGCGGCTGTAAAAAAACGGTGAAAACATCTATTGTTATGAATAATAAAATGGCAATCATTTATGATAAGATTTACATTTAGGGCGTACATTTACTTTAAAGTCCAACTTAATATTACCAGCAAACTTTATTAAAAAATTGAATGTGCAGCAAAATACTAATTTGTAAAGTAACTGTTGCTATACAAAAAGCCCAGCCTTACCTGTAAAAGAAGTCAGGAAATACAAACATTTCTTCCTGCTCAAACCACTAAACGCTGCTCAAATCCTGAAATAACTTCTGTTGAATTTCACACTGAAATTGATACTTCTGGGAATCTGGGTCCATCCCTGTGGTCTCCGGCAGCTTTTACAAGCATATACCGTATATACTCGAGTATAAGCCGAGATTTTCAGCCCATTTTTTTGGGTGAAAAGTGCCCCCCTCGGCTTATACTCTTATACTGCTGCTCGGTGTGCGGCGCTCCGAGCGGGGTCATCTGGCAGTACTTTTTTAACATGTATGGCTGGGTTGAATTTTTTTGTATAGCGACAGGCTAGCTTTGAAGGTCTTATTTTTTTTTCTTTGTAAAGCATTCCCAGTAGAAAATCTTATGCCCAGGCAGTATGGTGCAGATAAACACTGTTCTGCTCAATAGTTTAACATACCCCCTGGCTTAGTCACAACAATAGTTCTGCAATCAACAATGCTCACCCTCCTAAGAAGGGAGTGTAGGTCTTGCTGATTGCATAGCTGTGGTTGTGACTAACAATAGCATGCTAGTTGAGCTGTCCCTGGATTTTAAGCTCTGTGTGGAGCCCATCTGCTCAGGATAAATCCAAAAAGGTAACAATTTCTTGAACCTGGAGGGTACATTTCTAGTAACCATCTTGGTGTCAGTAATTAAAGGGGTACAGGGCAATGGCTTAGGCATGTGGCAGGGTCTTTATTAAGGAAGAACAAATATATTAGTTAGTTTGGGCATGGCTATAATCTCAGAACAGTCACATACTTACTAAATAAATATTTATAATACTTAAAGGAGAACTATGGGGTTAGGGCTTTTTCCCATAGTTCTCCTAAGGGTAACGGGAGGACACAAACTAGCATCCTCCGGTTACCCTAAGCTCATTATACTGAGATGCCGCAGCTGAAACAGATCCCGACAATTATGTCTGGATCCGCCCAGCTGTGTGAGTGACAGCTGGCTCTGCCTATCTAGAGGCAGAGCCAGCTGTACCTGCCCCCTCCCCCGTCCGTTCCGCCAGTCAGCGCTGGAGGATCGGAGCGGGGAGGGGGGAATCCAGTCCCTCCCCTGTCACGGCTCTCTGCCGTGACAGGATCGAGAAGTGAGTGAACGTCGGTATGTGTTCGCTCACTTCCCGATCTACTGAGCCGACATGTGACAGTTTCATTGTCACAGGTTGGCTAGAACTATGAGGATGAGTTCCTTTGGAAGTATAAATGGGGTGGTTTTCTGTGAGGCATGAGTTGATGGTATTTTACCTTTGTAACTTATATGCTGTATTTTTGCTTACACCTCAATGTTCTGGAAGAAACCTTACATGCCTGTTTCAAAACTTAAAAATGTCAAGGCTAATTAATTATATGCATACTGTATACAGTTTTCTAAAGGTGATGTAAGTGTTGTATTGCAAGCAGCTCTTTAAGTAACTTAATATAGGTGCTGGATAGCAAGGCAGGTATTAATTTGGGGTTGATTTACTAAAGGCAAATAGGCTATTCACTTTGCAAGGGGTTTTTCCCTGAACAGGGAGCAGCAGCGTATGCATTATCCTACGGTGTATATAAGTTTTACAGTTGTATGCCTCTGGGCTTTGTTTTTGAACAGAATTAATGGATGTGCCCTTTGGCAAGAAGATTTTGTAGTTGACAAGGATTTTTGTTTGTCTACTGATGCAGCGGGCTCATTTGGCTTCACTGCATTTTGTCATGGGAATTGGTGTTGTGGACCTTGGCACCCATACTGGGTTTCTCTGTCGAGCCGAAGTGGGCCGAGCGGCTGGCTCTGGCCAGTTGCAATGACAGTTTAGCGTCCCCCGGTTACCTGGTAAACACGGGTGACGCTGAACTGTCATTACAATAAAAAAAATATTTGGTTCCAAAAACCTATTGATCCTGGTATAAGTGGCATGGAGGGAAGAAAAACATGAAGAGTCTTTGCCCTGTAGGTTTTAAGCCATCCAATTATTTACAATTGATTACTAAGGGCAGTATGCTTTGCTTTCTTTTCATTTAGTATAGATCAGTGGTGGCGAACCTATGGCACGCGGGGCCCTCTCTGCTGGCACGGGAGCCCAGGTTCAGGAACCCCCAATGCAAATAGATCCGACTGTCCCGGATCGCCTCGGTATGCGATCTGGGCTGGTTGCAATCAGGCAGCGGCGGCGGCCTCTAAACAGGCACATTAGACGGCTGCTTCCTCCTCGCTAGGACCACGAGAGGCCCCAGCGATCGGCCGTCTTATATGCCTGTTTAGAGGTTGCTGCCGCTGCCTGATTGTGACCTGCCCGGATCGCGTACTGACTACAGAGGCGATCGGGGACGTTCGGATCCACTGTAACCTTGAGAGCTGTACAGCGCCCCCTGATAGCCACACAGCCCTGCCCCTGAGAGCCCATACAGCCCACCTGAGAGTCTGCAGAGCCCATCTGAGAACGGCACAGCTCACCTGAGAGCCCACACAGCCCCCCAGAGACCCTGGAGACATCAGGCTGCCACCCCGGAGCAACACAGGGCATGTAGCTTCATATTATTTTGCATTGCTGTTAAATGTATTGTTGGGAGTTGCAGTCCTCTATAGCCGATGGTCTTATTCTGCATTGCTGAATAATATATTGCTGGGATTTGTTGTCCTCTATGGTAGGTGTTATTCTGCATTGCTGCTTAATGTATTGCTGGGATATATAGTCTTCTATAGTTGGTGGTATTCTGCATTGCTGTATAATGTATTGCTGGGATGTATAGTCTTCTATAGTTGGTGGTATTCTGCATTGCTGAATAATATATTGCTGGGATTTGTAGTCCTCTATGGTTTGTGGAATTCTGCATTGCTGTGTAATGTATTGTTGGGATTTGTAGTCTTCTATAGTTGACGTATTCTGCATTGCTGTATAATATATTGCTGAGATTAGTTCCTTTACAAGTTGGAGTCAGTGGCAGAGCTACCAGGGTCACAGCGGTCACAGTTGTACTGGACCCTGGTGCTCCATCATTGACTCCAAGGTGTAGAAAAACTGTTCTCTTGCATTGTGCTGCATGACATGTACCTTGGAACACTTCACTCATTAGCACAGTACAAAGGTACATGTCACTCTGTAGTGTAGGTAAAACCTCTTGTATTGTATTTTTCTTCTAAGATTTAAGCACATAATTGGTTCAGACAGTCGTATAAAGTGTTTTCTGAAATAAATCATCAGTATTCGGGTCTAATTGCAGGGTTGGCACTTTGAGACGCTGGTTTAGTGATCCAGTTTGGGCACTCAAAAAGGTTTGCCATCACTGCTCTATGGTAAATAGAAATATATGCTCTACAGCACCATCTTGTGGCTGATTTTGAGATGGCAGGTAGGTAAGTCACTAAATCTAATGCCTGTAAGACAGAACATTTATACTTCGCTGTTTTTTTAAAATAATGCTGCACAAGCTGTATCAACTGTACAAACAGTTAAAGGGTTTCTAAACCCTCCATTTTTTATTTTTTTGCCTATATCTACTGTTGGCAAGCAGTAGATATATGCAAAAAGTTTGTTTTTTTTAAACCGCTTCAACAGCGGTTTATATGTATCCCGTTTTCGACGCGCACTCCCGTCCGAGAATCCGAAACTGTTTGGGCGGCGGCAAAGGATCTTAGGACGGGCGCTTGCGCAGTTCGGATTTTCGGCCAGGAAACGAGCATAGATGCAAGGTAAGTCTATGGACGCGTGCACCTGCATGCAGACACCGTGGGATCGGAAGTGCCAGCAAGGACAGAGGAGTCAGCGCTGGATCGGAGAGCCGCTGCACCGCTGGAGGGACAGATGAAAACATCAGAAAAGAAGAGGAAGAACGGATTAAGATACATCATTTAAGGTAAGTGCTAACATTAACATTGAGGGGAGGGAAAACATTTTTTTACTTTAATGTCACTTTAACATTAACAAACAAAAAGTCAATCTTTAGGTCTCTCTGAAAGCTTAACTAACTGCTCCATGAAATCTGAATGCCCTAACATGGAGTAACTCCAAACTTCCCAAAAAACTGAGCACAGTTCTCTAACAACTTCTCACTTTTTGGCCTTATGCCACTTGGTATACCTGAAATGTAATCTTAAAGAAGAACTCCAGTTAAAAACTGTATTAACCCTTGCAGTGGGGCTACTCCTGCAATGCAAGGGTTAATTGTAGAGGTGCACCAAAATGGAAAATTCAAAACCGAAATAAAAAAACTGTCAGGCCGAAACGGAAACCGAAAATGTTTTTTATTAAAAAATTTCACATTTTTAAAATATTTTATTTGTATTTACTTTTTATAATAGTTGTATAATTATTTTTATTTATTAATTCATTTTTTATTACATATTTGTAT